AGAAATTACAGTGGTGAACACAACTACAGGAACACTTGAAAAAGTGCCAGTTTTACTGGATACGGGAGCTGAACTCTCTTTCATCGACGCATCATTCGCTGCAGAAATGGCTCTTCCTATCATAGAACGAACTACACTACGCCTGCGTACATTCGGATCCGAGGAAGCACGAGAAAAACCGTCAAATAAAGTCTCGCTCAAAGCATGGGACGCTGATGGTCATCCGTTCTCTATGCATTTGTTCACGCACGATAAGTTAGTGAAACCACTTGTTATTCCAACAGTTCCTAAGAAAGATGTAGACTTTATTCGTCAACGTAATCTTCCCGTCTATCTTAGTAAGAACGAATTAAAGGTGAAGCCCACTATCCTACTCGGCTCCGACCAACTGTGGTCCTTAGTGAGAAACGATCAACGGCACGTCACACTTCCCTCTGGGTTGCATCTTCTGCCAACTCGCTTGGGTCACCTGATAACAGGAAGTGCCAGTAATCCTTCACAGTCAGCAAGAGAACCTGCAAATGGTAAAACTAATACTGGCCGTACACTGAATGTTAAAAAAGGGAAACGCAATCCGGTAAAATTCGCAAGAATCGAAGAACACATAAATTCCGAAACGCTAATGCACAGTGAACGTATTCCAATACATGAAACAAACAAAGAGAAAAAAGGAAAGAAAAGAAATGAAGAGAACTTAGAACAAACAACAGGTCATCAAGATGTGATTCATTCACAAACTGACTGCAGCTCATTAGAAACGCAGTTGAGCGAGATTTCTGTATTAGATGACAACTGGGAAATGTTCTGTGCGTTGGAAGCGGCCGGAGCGGAAGAATATACGAATTTCGAGTCAAACGACACGTCCACATTTAATGCATTGATGCAGGAGAACATCTCCAAACACTTAAACAGCTTCGAAATCATGAAACCAGGTGGAGCCCCGCATAGTGAAAGCTTAGCTAATCGCATTCTAGCCGAAGACACCAGCACAGAAGCAACAAGCGCATACGTTGTTGCGGATATGGAGTGGCAATCATGCACACCAAAGGCGACGTTAACATCACTCAACAACGGTCCTGGCTTTCCGCAACGCTTGCGAAAGAAGCCCCCTTGGCGCGATAAACGAAGCACGACCATGTCATTCGACCGCCACGAATTCTCAGAAGCGAAAGGATGAAAAAGTCATCCAGTTAAGAGGCGGGAGTGTCGATAAGATCGACCAATTATTAAGGTAGATGTCGTAGATCATTCATTATGCTACGCTCCTTTTATATTCACGTCTTTAGCGTTATGTGTTTCAGATTCCTCTTAAACCTTTGCGTAATGCAAAAACCTTAGGTTCAAATTCAATTAAAATAGCTAACAAAACTTCGTCTCGGCCCCCTAAATAATCCGGGCGGGTGTATAGAGAACTTCTCCCTTGGAAAGTTCTCTATCTAACTAAATAATAGCATTTGAAGTCCAAATATGGCCCTCTCGCACTCGCACCTCAAACACCGCAATGTCACCTTTCTAATCTTCTCGATCAATTATGTTCAATGTTTCAGGCACTATAGCGATTCAGGTTTAATTACCCAAGTTTGAGGCTGGTAGATCAACTACAACAACTAAAAGACCCGCGTGGCTAATATTCTACATCAATCTAAACCGCTACACTTCGCCGCTAACCATTTCGTTACAGCTCTTCTGGTGTCAGCAGCAGAGCATGTCGTCCGTTGTGGTCTAGGGGTTAGGATTTACGGCTCTCACCCGTAAGGCCTGGGTTCGATTCCCGGCAACGGAATGAGTTTTGTTTGGAAAAAGAAACGTCTTGCCTTCAGTCTTCTAATCAGTCTCGTTCTGAGCTCAGTGATAAGCTCTGCTGGTGTCAACACCAAAAAATGTCGTCCGCTGTGGTCTGGTGGTTAGGATTTACGGCTCTCACAAGTAAGGCCCGTGTTCGATTCCCGGCAACGGAATGACTTTTGTTTGGAAAAAGGAACGTCTTTGGTTCGTTCTTATGATCAGTGTCGTTATGAGCTCAGTGATATGCTCTTCTGGTGTCAACACCAGAAAATGTCGTCCGTTGTGGTCCAGTGGTTAGGATTAACGGCTCTCAC